ATTATTATTATTATTATTATTATTAATATTATAGCCATAAGGTACATGCAGGATCAATCAGATGGTAGACATTGTACTCAATCACATTACAGATTCAGAATCCTGTCACCACTATACCCAATCACAAAGCAGATGCAGGACTCCACTTAAGCCAATCCAAATGCAGATGTGCAGGTCTCCACTTCCATGTGTACTCAGTTATAGAAAAAACATGTCTGAATTAAATAATGTGACAGCCTTTTGCTTTTCTGGCAGTTAAAGATCTTTACGGGAATTATCAGAGTGAATGAAAACCTTGCTGATTTTTTGTTCCCCGCTCATACCCAGTTAACAGCTTGTAAGTGCAAGATAAATGGAACAGACAGGTAAATCAGAGCAGCGCTGAAGTGTCCCCTGCGAGTCAGCCAACCAGTCAGTCACTCTAGAGAGCGATAGTACTGTGAGCCAGAACAGTCCGAGCGGATTAGCAGATTCCAGACCTCCTGCTGCACTAGCCGGATCAACCAGGAATTAATCAGATGGTCTGAATGGATCAACCAGCATCATGGGACTTGAGTAACTCTTCATACCTCAGAAACATGTCTGTCTTTGCTATTAGACAGGGCCAACCATCCTCATCTGGCTGTGTCAATTCAGTTTTTCGATAAGGCGATTTTCAATCAGCCCTGTATTCGTCTCTGGGAACTGCGGCTAAGCTGATGCTGTGGTTGGTGTCTGAAAAGGAGGAAATGGCTCTTCAGCTATGTGTATCGGATGATCTCAGCTTACTAAGAGTAAAGAATTAAACCAGACCTCAGCCCATAAAACATATGGCAGCAAAGCAGTGCAGGATCAAAGCTTGCTCTTATCTTCATGTACTGCTGTATGTGTTTAATTTTCCATTTTACAGCTCCAAAGATGCTGCCAAACCTTCTAAAGCTCTGGGCCAAATAATGCATTATACAACTGCATATAAACCTGCCTGTGGTGTTGATGTTTCACAGTAAGCAGTAGTGTTGAAGGACAAAGGGCGGAACAAGGTCTTTAGTCATATTTGGGGAGTTTTCTGGCTTTTCTCTTGAGGGAATCTATGAAGGACAGTCACCAATATATAATGTAGCCAGACTGCTTCATAGTCATTAATGCTGACCAACAAGGAGGGTTAAAAAAAGAAGCCTCAGTGTATCCAAAAAAACATCAGACACAAAATGGAGCCATCAGAAACAGCAGTTCACAGTAAATCTTGCTCTTATTGCCTCTTGCAGTGTTAGGTTTGTAGGTTTCTTACAGGTACCAGTGCAGTGACTGCAAGTGAGGGTTTACATGAGAACCGGCTGAATCAGTCTTCCAGTTGACTTCTTTAAGGTGCCGGCTAGCAAAATATTACTGCGGTCAAGGGCTCTCGGCAGGCTTTGCCTCTGACTGATGTACAAACTCATAGCTTTACATTGTGTGCGCTTCTCTCCTCCTGTGGGAAATCATGCAGAGACAATGGCAGCTTAGTTTATTTTTAACTTCTGATGTGTCAGAGCCAACAGGCGTCCAGCGGGGGAGGATCCCTGGTGCTGTCCCTGTAGGACCAGTACTGAGTTACAAAGCTGATTGGTCTTACTGGGCCTGAGGATGGTGAGATCTGAAGATCTTGAGAGAAGGTGACAGATCATCTACGCAATCTGACCCACTGAGGATCACCTTGGATAAGCTTGGTGCTGTTTTCTAGCATGAAACAGCATGACAGAACCCATAAGGGGGGGGTCAGGATTGTGACCTTGGTTTAAGACTAGAGATTTTAATCTTTGACTTTGAGCATTTTATTAATGCTTTGTGGTTGTAAGATGTCAGAAATCGGATATAGCAAGAGTCCACAGCTGCTGTGACATCACTGTGCAGAAAACAGGGAGAATACATTTTTAGCCATTTGTCTCTGCTCTGAAGAATGTTCCATATGATTGGGAGCACAAAGAATAGTACACTGATATGTTATAGCTGACCACCATAATAGAAGAATGCTTTTGTCAGTTCACTCCCAACCAGTCTTTTTTTTGTTGACTGATTTTTGTTTTTCTTTAAAAGCCATGGTAACACCTGATTTCTCAGCACGCCTTGGCTAGGCTCGCCAGTCATAAAAAGAATTTGATGCTGTGAGAGAAGTCATGCCAGTGCTGACTTTGGACATAAAGGCATCCAGGAAACTAATAGGAAACAGCAGCTTTGTTTATTTTCTCTCAATAGCTTGTTTTACACAGCTGTAGGCACACCAGATTTGTCACGATGAAAGCAGTTCTTTTAAATGTATTCCTGTTTTTATTTAAATCTGCATCTTCTGAACAGTCTTCCTCCACTACCATTTCTTGTGTCTGCGCCTACTGGATCCAATAATTCCTTGACAGGGCTCTCTCACAGAGACTACTGTATGACTGTCTTCTGTGTGAAACAAACTCTGATGCGGTTTTTCCAGGGGTTTTAGTTTTTTAACTTTTCGTGTCCAGCCATGGCCCTAGAGAGCTATCATCCTTCTGGTTTTAAAAGTAACCCTTATACCCTTAAAGGTTAATGTCCAGAGGTCATGGAACTTAAGTCGATCAGACATCAACTGGAACAGAAGCAGAAGCCACTGTAGTTCTCTAGGTCTAGTATGGACTCTCCTGATATGAGGGATTTGTTGGGAATCTTTACAATTAACACGAATGTTTAGTCATGCATTTTGTAGATTTGAATTTTCTGGGACTTGAGTCCCGGATGGGAACTGCTAACAGATTGCCCCTGTTAACATGGCTGACTCTGTGTGTTCCTCAGGATTGCCAAGGGCTACCAGAACTCCCCTGATCTCCGGCTCACTTGGCTCCAGAACATGGCCGGAAAGCACTCGGAGAGAGGAAACCATGCTGAGGCAGCCCACTGCCTGGTCCACAGCGCCGCCCTGGTGTCGGAGTACCTCAACATGCTAGAGGACTGCCGCTACCTGCCCATCGGCTGCGTCTCATTTCAGGTCAGGAGTCATATGACTTCAACAAATGCATACCATAATGTGTTGAGTAAGTAACAACATACAGGATCTATAAAGTCAAAAACCAAGCCTTACTTAATGTCCATGTGAGGAGTCATTGGTATCTGAGGGCACCCACTGATGATCAGCCTCACTTGTAAGTGTTCCAATCTGGGAAATAGCTCTTTGCCTTTGAAAAATGAGTGAACTTAAGAAAAGTTTGACCTAATTAAATGTGACAGATGGCAAGAAGACTTTAGATCCCAGTAGCGTATTGAACCAGGTACTTCACTGAGATGGATCCATAAGGATTCCCATGTTATTTTATTCTTAATCTAATTAACAGCCAGATAAGCATGGTAAGAGTCCTCTCAATTGTAATTTCTCTTCTGTTTGTCTTGTTATTTTTAATTTCATGATGGCAGAACATCTCCTCCAATGTCCTGGAGGAGTCTGCCGTGTCTGACGACATCCTGTCCCCCGAGGAGGAGGGGATCTGCGCAGGGAAGTACTTCACGGAGACGGGGCTGATCGGGCTGTTGGAGCAGGCAGCCGCCTCCTTCAACATGGTGAGGATCTGTGGCCAGCAGACATGCGATGCCTGGTGAATGCCTGTGTTTTGTTTTGATACAGGCATCTAAGTTTATATTTAAGCATGATGAAAAGTAAAAGGAAAGGAGAAAAACATTTCATCTGTTTTTTTTTCTTTATATTTTCTACATTTTACAATTAATATCATTGGCCCCTGGTTGTGTGTGCAGCTGCAGACAAACATTATACATCACCCAGGTATTTGCAGGGGAAGAGTTAATTAACAAACTGCAGTCACAGCTGCAAGACCCCTTGAGCTCAGACACTGCCAAATGCAGATGCTTCTTTGTCTTGGCCAGCACTCATTTCAAAAAGGGTTATGATTTCAAAATGTTCAATACAGTATATCTCATCTCTGATTTTTTTCTCATCTCAGTGGGAGTTACATTCTTTTTTTACTAGTCTGTATTTACTTCAGTCCAATTTCTCATCAAGCCTTAAAATCCTTACAAGAATAGATAAATGTCTGCTGGGTGGCACACTGGTGTGGTGGATAGTACTACTTTCTCGAGATCCAGGTTTTGATTCCAGGCTTTAGCACCTAGTCTGTGTGGTGTCTTCCCCGCACTTGGAGTTGAGTATTGGTTGTGTGCGTGCTACAGACATCAGCAGGAAGTAAGCATGGACAGGTGAATCTGGGGTTACCAGTTGACATTTGATGACACTTAAGAATAACCCAGTCTTTTTGTATGTATAATTTGCAATAGTGGCTGTGCTAAAACAGGTTTGGGATCAGAAATAGAAAATATCACTGTGTCTGTTAAATCAAAAGAGAGAAAGGCAACAAGAATGCTTGGAATACCCTGTAAACATGCACCAAGCTTTGAACCATGATCAGTTTGTATCAAATCTTCCACAGGCTACACTCCTTGAACAGCAGCTGTTTTACCAACTCTACAGCTGCAAAGATAGATTGTTTTTGTTCCTTTTTTACTTATTTTTTGCTGACCAGAATAAAATTCTGAAGGTTTTCAGCTGTTGAACATCTGGGTCTGGACCTAGCTATGCCAAGAGAAAGGAGGTGGTGTTGGGGTAGAGTTTTCCGTGTCAGGGTGAAAAACCACTTTGGAAAATGAAAGGCGCTATCGGGTTTACCAGCACACATCTATTAGTGCAGTACAAACCAGCTAAAACAGCTTGCAAAAATGAGTGTCCTCTGGTTTCCAGTCTAGGATGCAATGAAATGAGGTTGGGGGGGAAAGTGTTCCACTATCAGACAGACCTCAGTGCACAATGTTTCCATCATGATCGTCTGTTCTCATTTGCCATACATTCTTACTACATGGCAAATAACCAATCTGAGCTATAAAAGGAAATCATGGAAAGACATTGCAGAACAGCACAACCAGGAACACAATGGAGCAGACACATGAGACAGCATCTGCTAATCTAGACTGTGTGAGTAATGTTGGGCCTGGTGTAGATTTCTGTGCAAAAGGCTTTTATTTCTTCCATATGCACAAAAGCACTATTGAATAGTAAAAGCATTTTCTTACCTTTCTTTTGTGGGAGTGGTCATGTGTATGTATATAGAGTTGGATCCTATTCCCTAGCCCTTGTCACAGCATGTCTGTCGCTGCTTGCCTTGCAGGCGGCCATGTACGAGGCCATCAACGAGGTCTACAAGATCCTCATCCCCATCCACGAGGCCAACAGGGACTTCAAGAAGCTGGCCACCATCCACGGCAAGTTGCAGGACGCCTTCAACAAGGTCAACAACCAGGTAGGTTGGGCAGGACAGGGCAGGGCCCAACCCCTGAAAAGTAAGGCTCTTGGGTTCAGCACCAAGAGAGAGTCTTCCCATGAACTGCCTTAAAGGTAGAGAGAGGTGTGATGCTGTTAGAAATCTCTGCACGGCGGTTTACACCACACCAGGTTGCGGTCTCTGCTCTCTGTCCCTGTGTTAGAGAACTAAAAGTCAAAAGCATGTGGTGCCTCATAGGGTTTCTCCTTGCATTGGCTAATGCCTTGAATATGTCCCTTTTTGGGGGAGTTTAGCAGTTGTTACATCCCCCTCTCCATTTAGCACCCACTGCTTGGGAGTCTGACCTCACTGTGTCCTGAATCTAGTTTTCAACATGCAATGAGAAACGATGTTTGAAGTTTTTTTGCAGATGAGTAAAATATTTTAGTTGGCAGCAGTTGTCAGGTGCCTGTGGTTTGGGCAAAAGCTGTATGGCTCTTGCTAATCATTGCAGGATACCCTGTAACTACTGATACGCACTCTTCAGTGTTGTAGCCTGTATTAAAACACCCTCCAAAAGTATCAGGACTGAGAAACCAGGGATTTTTACTATTAAGTCCAATAACTCAGGTGCTTTTATCCTCTCGAGATTTTCATCAGAGTTTGACAGCCCGTTTTCTATGTAAATATACTGGCTG